CACCTATGCCTATCCGAATCCGGATATTTTACAGGGATCCCGCAATATGACCTTCATAACTTATGATGTCTATAATAATGGCTATTATTTAGGAGGATCTCTCAATATGACAGCGGATAGGGAAATCCAGTGTTCGTCAGGAGGAGGAGGATGTACCCTGAAGAGATATCTGTCGAAGCTGCATGAAAAGACACGCCATGAAAATCGTTGGCTGTTGAAGGATATTACCATGAGGGTGACAACGGTGGTAAGTAGGAAGGGGATACAGAGGGGAGAAAGGGAAGGTAGAAAGGGAAGGGAGAGGGTAAAAAGGAATGGGAAGGGGGTAGGGGAGGTTATTTTGAAATTTAAATTATGAATTATTTTTCCTCAAGACCACTCAAATGCCTCATACTGATCCCGCCGACAAAATATTGGATTTTCTGGCTTCAGAAAAGAAGAAAAATATCGATGCCATTGCCAGGTTCGGATTTGGTTATATTATGCTATTGAAGGATAACATTGGATGCCGGTGACTATGGAACATTATTGGAAAATTCGAAAATTTTTTGAAAATATTTTTCCAGCTATTTCCACAATTTCACCAATACCTGGAGTCTGACGGAAGCAACTGGTGGGGTCGTTGGGGCCCTGGGCATTGATCAGTCGGCTGAGCTGTCCTCTTCACCATTTCTCATATCCAAACTTCGGTTGAGCTATGTAAAGCCCACAATGCCTTTGGGCAACTTTCGCCAGGTTTGCATTTTCCGAACCCCACGCAATGCCGGGATACGCGGTGAGGTTTACCTCGAACCATTTTCGGCCAAAGTTTGGTTTATATTCGGTGGCATAATTCTACTGATTGGATGTGTGCTGTGGATCACCTTTGTCGTTGAATATCGTCAGCTAAAATTCTATTTGACTTTTTTACCTTCGTTGCTGAGCAGCTGTCTGCTGGCATTCGGGTCGGCCTGTTGTCAGGGTAGCTTTTTGGTACCCAAATCGACGGGAGGACGAATGACATTTTTTTCGTTGTCGTTGCTGACATTTATTATTTATAATTATTACACTTCGATTGTTGTGGCTATATTATTGGGTTCTCCCGTGAAGTCGAACATTAAGACCCTGGCTCAATTGGCGGAAAGTAATTTAGATGTGGCCATGGAACCAATACCCTATACGAAGTCGTATTTGAATGTGAGTATAAGAAATTTATTATTTTATTTGTAAAACCTCCACCATAAGGTGGAGGTATCCTTCTTATATTCACCGGAGACCCCACGAAGTATATATTTTCCTGATCGGAATAAAATTCTATGCAGATTTACCCAGAACCGCCTGTTGAAATTCCGATAGAGCTCACATTTGGGTTCTCATTTGGTAGAGATTCATCCTACAAAAATTATCAATATTGGTCCACTTTTAGGGGTAGTCTCCATGTAACCGAACCTCCCAATTTTCGATATTTTGGGGAGCTTGGGTACGGTTTTCAACCTAATTGGCTGTAATTTGGTATTATGGGTTCTCATTGGGTAGAGATTCATCCTACAAAAAATTATCAATATTGGTCCACTTTTAGGGGTAGTCTCCATGTAACCGAACCTCCCAATTTTCGATATTTTGGGGAGCTTGGGTACGGTTTTCAACCTAATTGGCTGTAATTTGGTATTATGGGTTCTCATTTGGTAGAGATTCATCCTACAAAAAATTATCAATATTGGTCCACTTTTTAGGGTAGTCTCCATATGACCGAACCACAAAAAGTTCGGTGTTTTGGGGAGCGTGAGCACTTTTTTCAACCGAATTGATTGTAATTTGACTCTTTGGGTTCTCATTGGGTGGCAAATCTTCCTACGAAAAATTATAAATATTGGTCCACTTTTTAGGGTAGTGCCCATATAAGCGAACCTCCCAAATATTGGTATTCTAGGGAGCTTTGGCACATTTTTCAACCGAATTGGCTGTAATTTAGTATTTTGGGTTCTCATGGGGTGTCCAACCTTTCTACCAAATATTGTCAATATTGGTCCACGTTTTGGTATACCGCCCATACGACGACACCCCAAATATTCGGTATTTGGAGGAGCTTGAGCATGTTTTTCAACAGAGTTAGTTGGAATTTGGTATTAAGAGTTCTCATAGGGTGGAAAATATTTTTACCAAAAATCGTAAATATTGGTGCACCTTTTGGTATAGTTCCCATATGATGGACTTGGGGAGCTTGGGCATGTTTACCCATCTAATTGGCTGTAATTTGGTACTTAGGGTTCTCATTGGGTGGCAAATCTTCCTACCAAAAATTATCAACATCGGTCCACGTTTTAGGGTAGTCTCCATATAACCGAAGCTCCCAAATTTCGGTATTCTGGGGAGCTTGGATAAGTTCTACAACCTAATTGGCTGAAATTTGGTATTGTGGGTTTTTATTGGATAGAAAATCTCCTAACCAAAAATTATCAATATCGGTCCAAGTTTTGATATAGCTCCCATATAAAGATACCCCTAATTTTCGGTATTTTGCGGATTTTAGCCACGCTTATCGAGCGATTAGCCTGTAATTTGGTATTATGGGTTCGCATAAGTTGTCGAATGTTTCTACCAAAAATTATTAATATCGGTCCATTGTTTGGTATTGCACCCATATAATCGGACCACAAATTTTCGGTATATTGCGGATTTCAGACACGTTTATCAACCGAATTGGCTGTAATTTAATATATTGGGTGCTCATTAGGTGCTTAACCTTTCTACCAAAATTGATCAATATCGGTCCATGCTTTCATATAGCGCCCATATAAAGATACTCCTAATTTTCGATATTTTGCGGATTTTAGCCACGTTTATCGAGCGATTAGCCTGTAATTTGGTATTTTGGGTTCGCATAAGGTGCCAAAACGTTCTTCCAAAAATTATCAATGTCGGTGCACGTTTTTATATATCCCCCATATAATCGGACCTCTAATTTTCGATATTTTGAGGATTTCAGGCACGCTTTTGAACCGAATTGGCTGTAACTTTGTATTTTGGGTTCGCATGAGGTGATTAACCTTCTTTCTAAAAATTATCAAAATCGGTCCACTGTTTGATATAGCCCCCATATATAATCGGACCCTTAATTTTCGATATTTTATCGAGCGATTAGTTTGTAATTTGATATTTTGGGTTCTCATTGGTTGTCAAACCTTCCTTCCAAAAATTATCAATATCGACCCACGTTTTAATATAGCCCCCATATAATCGGACCTCTAATGTTCGATATTTTGCGGATTTCACACAATTTTATCATTGCCGAATTGTCTAAAATTTTATATTTTGCGTTCACATAAGGTGCCAAATCTTCTCACCAAAATTTATCGATATCGGTCCAAGTTTCGATATAGCCCCCACATAATCGGACACCTAATTTTCGGAATTATGCAGATTTCTCAAATGTTTTCTAAGCGATTTGGCTGTAATTTAGTATTTTGAGTTCTCATGAGGCACCAAACCTTCCTACAAAAATTCATATATATCGGTCCATGTTTTGATATAGCCCCCATATAATCGGACCTCTAATTTTCGATATTTGGCGAATTTCTCACATGTTTTCCATCCCAATCGGCTATTATTTAGTATTTTGGGTTCTCTTGAGGTACCTAATCTCCTTGTAAAAATTCATAAATATTGGTAAAAGTTTCAGGGTAGCCTCCATATAACATAACCTCCGATTTTATGTATTTTGCGGATTTCCCACATGTTTTACAACCGAATTAGCTGTAATTTTGTATTTTGAGTTCACATTAGGTGCCAACCGTTCCTTCCAAAAATTATCAAAATCGGTACACTTTTTGATATAGCCTTCATATAAACATTCCCCAAATTTCGATATTTGGCGGATTTCAGACTCGTTTATCAACCGATTTGGCTATAATTCAATATATTGGGTTCTCACGAATTGGCTCTAATTTGGAATTTTGTTTTCGCATTAGATGTCGAATCTAACTGCCAAAAATGATCAATTTTGGTCCACGTTTTGATATAGCCCCCATATAATCCGACCTCTAATTTTCTATATTATGCCGATTTCCGGCCTGTTTTCCCCTTCCGAATTGACTCTAAATTGTTTTTTTAGGGTTCTCATGGGGTGCTAAATCATCTTACCAAAAATTACAAAATTCGGTTGATCTTAGGCTATAGCCTCCATATAAATGTCCCGCCCCATTTAGAGTTATTTTGAGGGTCCTAGACTCATTTTCCAAACAAAGTGACTTTATTTTGGCATTACGTAGCGTCATTCTGTGATCTTGGTGGGTAAAAATCTTCCTCATAGAAGATTTTCAATATAAGTCCATATTTCCGAATTTTCCCCATTTTCGGTCCTCGGCTAATATTTCCACCTAAGTGTCTGTAATTCGGTATTTCTTTTTTTTTTCCTGTCTGAAATTTACCTTGGCATTGCCTCCATTTCAAAAATTCCGATCTATGTTAGGTGGTTTGAATGTTCACATCATGCTGGAGGTTATAAAAATTTCGACTCTGCCGAACCTATAGCCTATTTTATTAATTTTCCTCTTTTTCAACCACCAGTTCTCAAAGTTGCCCGAAATCCGCACCCTGGTGCGTAATAAAATCCAGGCAAAAAAGGACTCCAAAAGTGTTTGGATACCCATAGCGGAGGGTGTGCGACGGGTGCGTGATGAACCTGGCTTCGTTTATGTCACCGAATCCTATTCCAGTTATTCGTTAATTGAAAATACCTATACCGCCAAGGAGATATGCGATCTCAATGAGATATTGTTTCGACCACAAGAAATTCTGCACGAACATGTCAATGTCAATTCGAGCTATGTGGAATTTATACGTTATAAGTGAGTAGAGGAAGGAGCAGAGAGAGAGAGAGAGAGGGAGAGAGGGGAAGAGATGAAAAGAGAGGGAGAGAGAGGGAGTATGGAGAAAAAATAACATTATGAAAAATTTCTTCTTTTCCAGACAAGTTCGCATCTTTGAATCTGGGGTACATCGCCGTCTGCAGGGCATTTGGGTCAAGACCCGTCTACCATGTTTCCTATCGAGTGGCTCCTTGGTCCAGGTTGGATTGGAATATACCGCTCCACTATTCATCATGTTGGCCTGTGTATATGTGTTGGTTTTTATCCTGCTACTCTTGGAGATCCTATGGCATAAATATGTGGAGAATTTTGAGGTCAAAGAAATTTTGGGAGGACTGATGAAGGACAACTAAAATTTTGGAAAAAAAATATTTCAATTTTTCGATTGCACCATAAAATATAGATCCATGTGTTAGTGATCACTTCGTTTCACACATTTCAATGTAGCTGCACAATTGATGTGAATAAAATTTTGAAAAAAAAATGTTGGGTTATGTTGAAGGCCTTGCCAAAAAAAGGAACCCCAATTTTCGGAATGCAGATTTTGGCCACATTTATTAACCAAAATGGCTGTAATTTGATATTTTAGGTTCGCACAATGTGTGGAATCTTCCCACCAAAAATTATCGATATCGGTACATGTTTTGTCTTAGGTCCCATATAATCGGACCCCTAATTTTCGATATTTTGCAGATTTTAGCCACATTTATAAACCAAATTGGCTGTAATTTGGTATTTTGGGTTCGCACAAGGTGTGGAATCTTTCCACAAAAATTTTTCAATATCGGTTTATATTTTGATATATCCCCCACATAATTGGACCCCTAATTTTCGATTATTTGCGGATTTTGGCCACATTTATTCACCAAATTGGTTGTAATTTGGTATTTGGGGTTCTCATGAGGCACCAAACCTTCCTTCCAAAAATGGTCAATATCGGTCCACGTTTCGATATAGCCCCCTCATAATCGGACTCCTAATTTTCGATATTTTACGGATTTTGCCCACGTTTTTTTAAGCAAATTGTCTGTAATTTGGTATTTGGGGTTCTCATGAGGCACTAAAACTTCCTACCAAGAATTATCAATAGTAGTCCACGTTTTGACATAGTCCCCACATAATCGAACCCCTAATTTTCTATATTTTGTAGATTTTTGACACGTTTTTCAAGCAAATTGTCTGTAGTTTGGTATTTTGGGTTCGCATAAGGCACCAAACCTTCTTACCAAAAATGATCAATATCGGTCCAGGTTTTGCTATAGCACCCATATATTCGAACCCCTAATTTTCGTTATTTTGCGGATTTCTCACACGTTTTCCCACCGAATTAGCTCTAATTTTGATATTTTGAGTTCTCGTGAGGTAAAAAACCTTCCTACCAAAAATGATCAATATCGGCCAAGGTTTTGGTATAGCCCCCACATAATCGGACACCTAATTATCGATATTTTGCAGATGTTGAAGCAGCTTGATGAGCCAGGATTAGATTATCTCATCAAAGCCCTCAACTTGTCGTTAATCACCCTAGCAGATCCCAATGCCTGGGTGGGTGGTCCCGCTACTGAAGCCGGGCAAGGATGCCAGCAAAGGTGAGTCATACAGACCGATCTCATTTTTGTCGCCAGTAGCCAAGACACTTGAGGCTTTACTACTCCCCAGCATGCGTGAATGCTACTCAGTTGCTGATCATCAGCATGTGTTCCGGAAGCAGCACAGCACAACAACAGTTTTGCACGCCATTCTGCCGCACACATAGCAGATGGACTCAACCAGAACAGACCGTGTAAGAGGACAGTCATGGTGGTGCTAGACCTATCAAAGGCCAGCCACGCCAAGCTGTTCGAGGACATCGAGAGAACAACCCTCCAGCCAAGTTTGAAACGTTGGATCGTAAACTATATGTGCGGACGCCAGTCGTACGTGGAATTCAGAGACAGGAAAACGAAGGCCCGTAGAGTTAAACAGGGAGTTCCTTAATGAGCGGTGATATCTCCAGAATTGTTTAACTTCTACCTCTCTGGAATTTCACATCCACCGGACGGCATAAAGATCAAAACATATGCGGATGATTGCACGATTATGGCGTCAGGACCTAAAATTGATGACATTTGCGAGAGGCTGAACCACTATGTCGTGGATATCGCTGACTTTTTCCGGTCGACGAATATGAAAATATCCGCCACTAAGTCAACGGCCACATTGTTTACCACATGAACAGCGGAGATGAGGCTATCTTTGGATGGGCAGGTCGAGGGGTTCACAATTCCGACCACTAATTACCCCAAGGTTCTAGGGGTCACATTCGATAGGCTATACAAGTCGTCCGCGCATGCCACAGCTATTTGCGATAAAGTCAGGAGCAGAAACAAGGTTCTCAAGTCGCTAGCCGGCAGCACTTGGGGAGCTGACAAGGAAACCTTATTAACGACTTATAAAGCTAACTATGCGGCGCCAGTGTGGTCCGCTAACGTCAGTGCAACGCAGTGGTCGCAGTCTTCAATCCTGCCAGAATGCCGCCCTGAGGACTGCAACAGGGTGTCTCCTCATGACTCCAATAGACCACTTACATGAGGAGATCGGTCTGTATGACACACCTTTGCTGGCATCCTTGCCCGGCTTCAGTAGCGGGACCACCCACCCAGGCATTGGGATCTGCTAGGGTGATTAACGACAAGTTGAGGGCTTTGGTGAGATAATCCAATCCTGGCTCATCAAGCTGCTTCAACATCACCATTGAGATTACATCTGGACCAAGCGCTTTGGATGATTTCGCGTTCCTGATGACATTTGCAACATCCTCCAACGTAAATTGTGGTGGTTCGTTCCTCCTCCACCTGAAGAGAGCGTATACGGCGCAATACTCTTCTCTTCGCCCGGTCACTCTCGGGTTGCTCTATAAATGGCCGGTTAAAAAAACACGCGCATCTCTTCGGATCTGTCACCTCAACGCCGTTAAATGAGACAGAAGTCCGATCCTCCTTCTTTTCAGGGTTCGAGAGCGACTTAACCGTTGCCCACAATTTACTCACTCCGGTACTGATGTTCGCCGACTAACCTGTTCACTTCCAACGTCAGTTCTCTGACTCTGGGGTTAGTAGGGTTAGAACGACGAAGCTCATCACGCTCATTCGCTAGTCCCGCTGCCTCTTCTGGGAAGTTTGGTCTTAGTTCGAGTATACGACCCGCAGGTATATAGCGAGCGGTTGCAGCAGTGATGATGTCCCGGAAATTCCTTTCTGCTACCCGAGCATCAGAAGGGATGGACAGTTCTCTGAAGCGACGATTGGTGGAATTTCTGAACTCTTGCCAAGTGGCTTTCCCATGATTAAGGAAAGTACGGCGTTCAGAAGTTATGAAATCGGGTGGTCTGTTGATGGATTTGATAATAGGGAGGTGGTCAGACCCGGCGACACGATGGATATGTTTTTTGGTAGGAAGGTTTGCTACCTCATGAGAACCCTAAACACCAAATTGCAAACAATTTGCTTGAAAACGTGGGCAAAATCCGTAAAATATCGAAAATTAGGAGTCCGATTATGTGGGGGCTATATCGAAACTTGCACCGATATTGATCATTTTTGGTAAGAAGGTTTGGTGCCTCATGAGAACCCCAAATACCAAATTACAACCAATTTGGTGAATAAATGTGGCCAAAATCCGCAAATAATCGAAAATTAAGGGTCCGATTATGTAGAATCTATATCAAAACGTGGACCGATATGGATCATTTTTGGTAGGAAGGTTTGCTACCTCATGAGAACCCTAAACACCAAATTACAGACAATTTGCTTGAAAAAGCGTGGGCAAAATCCGTAAAATATCGAAAATTAGGAGTCCAATTATGTGGGGGCTATATCGAAACGTGGATATTGACCATTTTTGGTAGAAAGGTTTGGTGCCTCATGAGAACCCCACATACCAAATTACAACCAATTTGGTGAATAAATTTGGCCAAAATCCGCAAATAATCGAAAATTAGGGGTCCGATTATGTGGGGGATATATCAAAACAAAAACCAATACCGATAATTTTTGGTGGAAAGATTCCACACCGCCCTGAGGACTGCAACAGGGTGTCTCCTCATGACTCCAATAGACCACTTACATGAGGAGACGAAGAGCCTTCCTGTGCGTCAACACAACAAGATGTTGTCGATGCAATACATGCTTGGGTGTTATTCGAGCAGCCATCCAAACAGCTACCAAATGGATAGGCACCCACCACCCAGGCATGTCAGGATGGATCTCCATGATCTGGAGAGAGAGGTCCAGAGGTACAAAAGAAAGCCTCTAGATCAACAGGCCTATCAAGCAGGATTGAATAGTATCCACACGGACGCAGTTGAGGAAGCAGTTCAAGAATATCGCGTGAATACCGCGTGAATACCATCCTCGGAGACCATCCGCCTTTGATAGCTGCAGAAGAGCAGCAGCTACCTCGACAAACTAGAGTGGTATTGGCGCAACTGAGATCTGGATGGCGTAGCCGCCTCAATTCGTATTGGTCGCGAATTGATGGAGAGATCGACAATGTCTGCCCGGCATTTGGTAACGGACCACATGACACGCTACATCTGTTCAAGTGCCCAGCCAAACCCACTCACCTAACCCCATCTTCTCTTTGGACTCAACCAATACAGGATTGAATAGTATTCACAAGGACGCAGTTGAGGAAGCAGTTCAAGAATATCGCGTGAATATCATCCTCGGAGACCATCCGTATTTGATAGCTGCAGAAGAGCAGCAGCTACCTCGACAAACTAGAGTGGTCTTGGCGCAACTGAGATCTGGATGGTGTAGCCGCCTCAATTCGTATTGGTCGCGAATTGATGGAGAGGTCGACAATGTCTGCCCGGCATTTGGTAACTGCCCAGCCAAACCCACTCACCTAACCCCATCTTCTCTTTGGACTCAACCAATACAGGTCGCAGCCTTTCTGAATTTGGAGTTAGAGGCAGAACCAGATTAAAGAAATAGAAAACTATACAGCAGTACTAGCTGCTACAACAACAACAACCAAAAATGATCAATATCGGTCTATGTTTTGTCATAGGCTCCATATAATCGTAACCCCTAATTTTAAGCTCCATGGGCGATCAATGACCTTTAAAGCTTCGGTTGCTAGTTTTGGAAAGTAGCCAAAACTGAAGGGGACCGTACTTTCCTGTGGCATATTTTTCTTATGGCGCCTGAAGTGGTATAGTTTTCCTAGGACACTTCGATACCTCTTGGCAGATGTTTGAATTAATATTTTTTTATTAAAACAACAACAACAACCAATTACAGTTATCACGTTTTGTGTCAACAATTTAAATATATAACGAACGAAGTATATATGCCTATATACATATATATATGATATAAATCATTCGATTATTAATTGAAATCGAGCATGCCATTTTTCTGCAACAGCATCTTCGGAATCAATTAAAAGAAATTGATTAAAAAAAAAAAAAAATAAAACAATTTGTTGTTGTTGATGGTGATGCTGATGACGGTTCATTGGTCCAGATAGGCAACACACCCCTTTTATTGAGGTACTCTATGTGTGTGCGGAGCGACACAGACGTCATACACAAATGGATGGATATATGGCGTGACAACAAAAAATCCGCAGTAGGCAAGAAGTTGAACATAATTTCTGATAACTGTATAGGAAAATTCCGCAAAATTTTCTGCGGAATTTCCACACAATTTTATTGTTCCTTTGGTGTGTAACTTTAAATGCAAATACGTCAAAAATAAAAGGAATGAGAACTTCGAGGACCTTTGGGATTTTTTTATACCCTCCACCATAGTATGGAGGGTATATTAATTTTGTCATTCCGTTTGCAACTCCTCGAAATATTCATTTCCGACCCTATAAAGTATATATATTCATGATCAGGGTAAAATTCTAAGACGATCTAGCCATGTCCGTCCGTCTGTTGTAATCACGCTATCTTCTGAAGGAATTGAGATAGGGTGCTGAAATTTTGCATAGGGTTGTCTTTTGTCTGCAGGCAGGTCAAGTTCGAAGATGGGATATATCGGTCCACGTTTAGGCATAGCTCCCATATAAGGGTACCCGGCAAATTTCGGTATTTTAGGGTTCTTGAGCGCCTTTTTCAGCCGAATTCGCTGAAATTTGGTACATTGGGTTCTTATTGGATACTAAATGTCTCCACAAAAAGATTATAAGTATAGGTTATAAGTATAGTATATGGTAGCCCCCATATAACGGAACCTCCTAATTTTCAGTATTTTGGGGGTTTTGGTCGTATTTTTCCGCCGAATTGGCTGTAATTTAGTGTTTTGAGTTCTTAATAGGTACCAAACCTCTCTAAAAAAATTATGTATTTAGGTCAATTTTTTCGGGTAGCCCCCATATAAGGGTACCCCCCACTTTTCGGTATTTTGGGGTTCTTGAGCACGTTTTTCGCTGAACTTTGCTACATTGGGTTCTTATTGGGTCCTTAATGTCTCCACAAAAAATTATAAATATAGGTCCACTTTTTCTGGTAGCCCCTATATAATGGTACCTCCCAATTTTTAGAATTTTGGGGGTTTTGATCGTATTTTTCCGCCGAATTAGCTGTAATTTAGTATTT